CGAATTAAAAGCTTAACAACGCCGATTTTATCTGATGATATTAGTTCCGATGAAGTTATTGAACAAGAAGATGATTTAGAGAAATTGATACAACTTAAAGAAAGGCAGGAGAAAATACTTAAAAGAGGGCCAACGATTGCTGAGAAAAGTATTGGAACAATAATTACTGGATTTAGCGATTATAAAAGATTAGATAAGAAGGAAAATATTTTGCATTTTTGGGAGTCTGCTAAGCTGGAACACCCTGAATTATATATTTTATCTAAAATCTTATTTGCTGTTCCTGAAACCCAAGTAAATTTATCATATTTTCACATATAAATACATTTAACATAGGTTAGCGTTGAAAGATCTTTTTCACATTTGAAATTCATTCTTTCACCACATAGATCGAGGATGAGTGAACAACTCTTGGAAGATATTATGCTAATACGTCTAAATAAAATTTTAAAATTGATACATGACTATATGCTTTGTATTTTTAACTATATTTGCATATAAATAAAATAAAAAATTTATTTTTTATATCAAATTTATGTCTAGTTTTTTATTATGATTTAAATATAGAATTTGTTTTATCAACTCAAAAATTCTTGAACCCGAACCAAACCCGGGTTCAAAAATATTTCCCTGAACCGAACCCGAACCGAACCCATCTTTTTTTTATACCCCGAACCGAACCCGAACCGGGGCAAAAATTTTGTCGAGTTCGCATCTAATCATTTTAAAGGGATTGTAGTATTAATAGAAATATTATTACTGGATTTACATTTTTGATAAAATTAATTTAATAGGTTATGTGTTATAATTCGCAATCAATTTTGATGCTTACTAATAATGTATCTTCTTAGATTACCTAAAATACATAATTATTTATATATATTATTATAATTATATAGTATTTGCATGGAATTACTGGATTTAAGTTTGGAGTAATGTTAAATATAAAAAAACAATTAATTCTTTTATTATAAATTAATTTTCATTTTATAATATAAAATTTAAAAAGCAAGTGTAATTCTATAAATATATGTTTAGTCAATAAAATATAGAACATCAAAATATTTATTTACTGTTGGTAGTTTTTATGATTAGACATTAAGATATATAACAACAAAATATTTTTTACTGAAGAAAGAAAGAAACAAACAAACATATTTTTTTGAATATAAACTAGGCTACATTCTGGAGCCGGCTTGAGTAAAGCGATTTTGCATCACAAGTACCGCGAACGAAGGATCGAATTTTTAGGGCGGATGTAAAAATATCGCAATTTTATAATCACTATATTATCACTATTATAAAATTATCACTCTTAGGGGTGCAGTATGATGTAACTTACGATCACAAGAGTGTAGAAGAAGTCACTATGTTAGCTAAATATATTATTTAGAATAAATTAAATTTACCTGAGAAATTATTCCAAGAATAATATTTATTTTTCTGAAATTTGCCTTCTATTATCAAAATCATTCAAATGAAAATTGTATTGCTATCCAAATGTATAAATTATTATATCAAATTTGGAATATAAAGAAGTGGATGGTAAAATAAAATTAATTTCAAAATTTGAAATTACTCTATTATCAAATTGTCAGGTTATTATTATAATGTTTTATATCCACTTTTTACAGATGTTCAGGAGAGCGGTTTAAAAATAATATCGTCTATTTTTAGAAAATAAAAGAGTGGGAACTTTTTTCCATATCTGATGGATAATGCTTAGAAATATATATATATAACTTATCAGAGCATAGCTTACCCTAAAATAATATTATCAGAGAATTTATTTAAATCCATTTTAAAAAATGGGTATAGAACAAAAAATTAACTCTATCTTTTATAATTTAAGTAAAAATATTCCATGTCGAAAAATAGCATTACATAATATAGATTTTTACTTAAAAATATTTTTAATATTTAATTACTTGATTATATATATCTTGTATATACTGAAATATTTTACACCAAATAAAATTCATTTTTGGAGTTTAATTTATTTATTTTTGAGTACAACATATTAATGTTATAAAAAGCATATTAATGTTTTAAAAAAAGCATATTAATGTTTTTAAAAAAGCATATTAATGTTTTAAAAAAGCTTAATTAAGGTTAAACAATGCCAGATTTTTTTTATCCTTTTCTTTTCCAATAGTTTTTTTTATGTCAATTCAGAACAATTTTAATTGTAATATTAATACTATAATTTATTGAATTATCTTATTAATATAAAACAAAATGATAAAAATCACAGAGATTGAAAAATTAATTCATTATTATTATCGTTCATTAAATAAATTTATAATTGGCATTTGATACTGGAAAGTAGTATTTGAGCAATGTTTTGAGATTATCGATCTTAATTTTTTTTATAAAGCAGCTTTTGCAAGGGGTAATAATGGGAATATCATCAGATAAAATACAAATTATTGTGTTCACTTTTTTCTCCTGATGTTTTCAATAAATCCTTGCTAATTATATATCTAATAAATTCCAAAAGGTTATGTTCAATTTTATAAAAAAAATAGTCATTGGGTGGGATTTTTGGTACTGCTAGATAGAAGCATATTAAATCTTAACATTGAATTATAATAAAATCAGTATTACTGATTGCATAAGAGTGTATTCTAAAATAATAATAATAATATAATTTCATATATTTCTGTCAAAGAATAATTTTCATTAAGATAAATGTAAGTTTTTATCCAAATTCAAAATGATATAATTAAATATTTTTATAAAATTCTATATTATATTACGCAAGCCTCGATATTTCTTTATTAAAGGTTCAAACTAGTGTTATTAAACGGCTAAGCCAAGTCGTCTTAGCTACAACTCGAGCCTAGTTTCTAGTCGATAAAACGACTCCAACTCGAGTCGACTCGCTTAGTCTGCTCAATTTTTTTATTTATAAGTAAATTATATTTTTATAAACGCTTAACTCAAATGTGTGGTAACTAAATTGTTAAATTTGAACAAAAATTATAATAAGAATATTTATGTCGTATCTAATAATGGTTATGGACCCGAATTCGGCTTCATGGATTTTAGACTTAATTTGGTGGAAATTTTGATAACATGAACTTATTAAGCCAGATCAGGAGTTGGTTCAAGTCGGGTTAGGAATTAGCTCAAGTCATAACTGCGGGGCCAAGTCAGCTTAGTCCTAAACTTAACCAGTTTTTGAGTAAAATTGATTGAGGCTCAAGCCAGTTAATAAGAGCTGAAATTTATTTGTATGTGATTGAGACATTTTATGAATATAATTATGTAGAATTTTATTTATTTATTTTTAGTAAAATAATTTATTTTATTAATGTTAATATTTTATTATTATAAACGAAAAAATTTTTTTTTTTTTATATTATGAAATATATTTACATTACAAAAATGGATTTATTTATTTGATTTTTTTAAAAAAAAAATATGATATGCCACTATTGTAATATTATTAAGGTTACAATTTATTAGTGATTTTCATGCCTAAAATTTTAAGCACGAAATATTTTTTAAAGTTCAAAAAGATTTTTGAACATATTTTTATTTGTTAATAATTTAAATCTTCTTTGTAAATAAATCTTTTTTTGAGGAATTATTTTGTGAATTTTATTATTAATAAACAATCTTTTAGGTGTGTCTTTTATATTTTTTTTAATCATTTTTGTAAAATTATCTATTTTTTAAGTATATTAAAAGAGGTAGTTTTTCTTAATAACTTTTAAATATTTATAATTTATATTAAACCTATTTAATATTTTAATTATCCGAGTTCAAAATCACTATTTAAACTTTAAAATGCATGTGAAAAATTCAGAGTTGTTAAAAGATACTTTTTAAATGGATCTAGATACAGATACATAGTCTCAAAAGTTATCTAGATACAGATACAGCGTCTAAAAAGTTATCAAGATACAGATACAATTATTAAATGTATCTGTATACATATACATTTTTTATTATGCTCTTATAGGTTTGCATAAACCTAAATTAATATTATATTGTGAAAAGGTCATGGTAAAGCAATAGAACTTGTTGTTGCTTCCTCTTCTTCGTCGATATAGATCTAAATAAATATATAAACTTAAAAATTTAGTTATAAAATAAAATTTACCATTTCCATATTGTAATATTAAAATTTGTATGGTTTATTGATAAACTCGGACATAATATTTAAATTAATGAATATTTATATATATTTTTTGTATATAAGTTTTTTTTAATATTTTATGTATATATAATTCTTTATTATAGTATTAATAAATATTAATATATATATATATTTATTTATTTCATAAGCTCATATGAAATAAGATAAATTTTACAGTCAAATATTTTTATTTATAATAAAAAAAGGGGTATATAAAATGTATCTTAAAAAGTATCTAAAAACAGATACAGATACCTCTAAAAAAATAACTAGATACAGATACCTTTCTAAAAAATCTATCTAGATACAGATACTACATTTTTATATCTAGATACTTTAACAACCCTGGAAAAATTCATCTATCAAAATTTTTTTAAAAAACAAATATGTGGTGAGTAATTTAATACCGTTTTTTAATTTCAAACTATACCTTAGATAATGAAAGACGATTAATTGTGGTTCAAAAAATATAAATTGTGAAAACAAAAAGGTTAAAAGAAAGACAGGTAAATTAATTAATATATAATCTAAGATATTTTATTTATAAAATAATAAAAGATAAACCTGTAGGTCAATCTGTCGATATATGTGAGATCCAATGTATAGATATCTCAGGATGTATTAATTTTTTAAATATAATTAAATATCAAATTTTATATAGGCATGGAATCTGATATCAGTAATCCATATAAAGGTATGAGTTGTATTAGAACAAATTATTTGATGAAATACATTTTAAAATTAATCTTATTTAGATTGTTTGGTTAATGAAGAAAGAAGGCTTATTGATGAGAGGATAATGTAGGGAATGGGTAAATTAATTTATATTTAATATAAAATATTTTATTTATATAATAGAAGTTAAACCTGTGGGTCAATCTGGTAATATATGTGAGATCCAATGTATAGATATCTCAGGATGTATTAATTTTTTAAATATAATTAAATATAAAATTTTATATAGGCATGGAATCTGATAGCAGTAATCCATATAAAGGTATGAGTTGTATTGGAACAAATTACTTTTGATGAAATACATTTTAAAATTAATCTTATTTAGATTGTTTGGTTAATGAAGAAAGAAGGCTTATTGATGAGAGGACTAATGTAGGGACAGTAGAAAAAAAAATAGGTAAATTAATTTATATTTAATATAAGATATATTTATAAAATAATAAAAGCTATACACATAACTCAATCTAAAAGTGACAACCACACAAGTATTTTTTTCATTATAACAATATTTTTCTTCAAATATATAATATTTGCCATAATTTTCATAAAAAAAATATTATTTTAATTTATATATTAATATTTGTTACATTTTTAGAAGAACTTATACAATTATTATTTTTATTTTAACAATATTTTTCTTCAAATATATATTTGTCATAATTTAAAAGCAATGATATTTTAATTCATATATTAATATTTTTACTTTTTCAGAAGAGCTTGATCTGGGTACTAAAACAACTGGACCTATGCAACCAATATTAGGTGCATATCCTTATACTGGATTGGGGAAAGATAGAAGATGTTTTCAACCTCAGTGGTACAAATCCTTTCCTTGGATAGAATATAGCATTACCAGAAACGCTATTTTTTGTTTTCCTTGTCGTAATTTTTCCACACAACCTCAAAAATATTATCTCTTTGATATAGGTTATCAAATATTTCGTAAGGTAAAAGAATTCTTAACAGCTCACGGAGCAACAAATGGTCATGCAACGATGTGATTCTCTGGAACCATTTTAAACAATCTTTAATGGAAGGGACTATTAAAGAAAAATTTGTAGCTCTAACTAAATCAGCAATAATGGAAAGAGGAGAATATTTGAAACGATTATTCAAAATTATAATACTATGTGGTAAGTTAGAACTTCCCCTTAGAGGACATCATGAAAGTAAGACAAGCAATAATCAAGGGAATTATTGTAAAATATTAAACTGTTTGAAAGAGTATGATTCATTTTTAATGGCATATATGCCACCAGGCAATGCTCATTATTGCTCACCTCCATCATAAAATCATATGCTATCTGCAGAGGGAAACATAATCTTAAAGTACATAGCTTCAGAAATAAGGGAGGCAGGTTATTTTGCTATCATGGCTGATCGTGATGTTAGCTCATATGAACAATTTAGTATATGTGTTAGATATGTTGATAAAACAAAAAAACTAAAGGAATCTTTTATATCTTTTGAAAAAGTTGTAGACTTAGATGCAGAATCATTAACAAAGACATTGATATCAACCTTAAATAACAATTCTATAAATGCGATTTGCGTTGCTCAAGCTTATGATGGTGCCAGTGTTATGAAAGGGCATCTTTCAGGAGTCCAGGAAAGATATCGCAAAAATCATAAAATGGCTTTATATGTGCACTGCTATGCACATAAACTCAATCTTGTATTGATCTCAGCATGCAAATATTTACCTCAGCCTATAAAGTTTTTTAATGTATTAGAATCTATTCATGCTTTTTTCTCAATATCTATTATCCATCATAACAAATTTCTTGATTTACAATTAAGATTAGGGCTAAAATCCAAAAATATTGATGCCTTGAGTTCTTCACGTTGGGGATCCCATATTAGAACAATAGAGGCAGTAAAAAACACTTTCCCTGCAATTATTTCTTGTCTAGAAAATATAGAGCATGGTGATATGGTGAAAGCAAATGGAATTTTATATATTCTTTTACAATATGATACAATTATGTGTATGTTTATATTCCAAAAAGTATTATCTATGTGTTCCAATACTTCTATCTTTTTACAAAAATCAGATTCTGACATATCAACAGCATTGGCTCTTATCGAGTCTCTTATCATTTCTTTGTCAAATTTAAGAAATAATTCTTATTTTTCTTCATTATTTACCGAAGTAAATAAATTCTGTAATTTATATAATATAAAAATAACAAATAAAAGTGTCAAGAATGCGTGATTTGACATTGGAATCAAAACCTAAAATAAAAAGAAATATATACTAAAATTATAGTTGAATCCTTTATTAAAGAATAATCAATATAATTAAATCCAAAGTAAAAAACATAATCAAAAATTAATATAAAAAATAAAAATTAAAACGTAAATTTAATTTAAAAATAATAAATTAATCATCATCTTTCTCATCATAATTTCTCCATTATATATCCTTTTTCTTTAATCAACATTTGCATAGTCTCAATTTGTACCGAGATTTAATTCTTTTTTCTTGAGTAGATTTGAATGTCTTTGGGCTTCGTAATTTTGTTTAAAAGTAATTTGTCTGTCTGGCGTTTTTCTTAATCTAGTAAATTTGCATGTTACCACAATTACAACAAAAAGAACAAATATACCTTCTACCATTTTAAATGATTCTATTCAAATAGATGATATTGTTTCTTCTAATTATTCTGAACAAACAGAAACTTTTTATAAGTGTCATGTCTATTATCCAATTTTGGATATTATGATAAATGAATTAAAAAAGAGATTTAGTCAAGAAAACACAGATATATTAATAGCTATAAGTGCTTTATATCCCTCCTCCCCCTAATTTTTAAATAATGATATCATTAAACCATTTATCTTACATTATAATCTTCCTGATCCAATGGAAGAATACGCAATATTAAAGATTTATATTTTAACCTATAATAAAACACATGAACCTATATGCAAATCGATAATAGATGTGTTAAAAATCGTACCCATCGATATATTCTCTCGTATATATAATTGCCTTAAAATTGCGCTAACTATACCTTTTAATTCGTGTTCATGTGAAAGATCGTTTTCAGCTTTAAAACGGGTGAAAACATATATTCTATCGACAATGGGTCAGGAACGATTAAATTCGTTGGCTCTATTGAGCATTGAAAAAAATGTTATTAATAACATTCCTATAGATCACATTATAAATGAATATGCAACAATGACTAACCGTGGTAGATAACTTATTTTATCAGATAATTTAACCTTATAATTTATATTATAAAACGTAATTTTAGGCATCAGTATAAGCGAGTAAATATATCGTTTAATATTTATTTTATAATTTTTTTTATCATTTCTAAAATTAGCTTAAAGATATGGCACTTATAAAAAATTTCTTTTTGAGATATATATTGACAATACAATAATATATAAGATCTTAATTGCCTTCATCATATCAGTCTTATTTTTTAGCTACTATATAATTCATTTCTAATTTGGCATCCTTACCATGTAAACAACTATAAGCTTCAATATATTTGCTTAATTTCTTCTAAAGATTTTTAGTGTTTTTGTTTTATCAAATCTAACCTTATAAATTCTGATATGAGTTAACATCGTGAGTGTCATGGCTATGACTGTAAATTAACCAGCATCTATAACTTGTGTGGCTATGTAATTTAAGATTATTACTACAGCTGCTGATATGCAATAATGGTCAACTGTGTAGTCATTTATATATCATTAAAAATGGAAGATAATCTTTTAAAAATTTAATATCTCACATTAATTTTCTCGATTACTTATCTAGCTTCCATCATGTCATCTAAAAGGAAGCTCTAACTACCATAAAGTTTTATGATTTGGATTGGTCATTTATATTCTCTTCTTCAACAATTGTTAATTTGGTAAGGCCTATAAATTTTTTCTTATTAGTCCATTCTATAAAACATTGTCTAAAATGGAAACAGAGAGTTATATTAGTTTCATGACCTTTTGTCAATGTAAGTTTTAAGAATTATATAGCTTTATGTGGTTTTTAAAAACCATTATCAATTGAGGCATATTTATTAATCAACCTTTTTTATCAATTGTAATTCTTTAGACGACATATTTTTATATCAGTGAAAATATTTTATACTCTAATAAATAGATTTTGTATTAAAAAATATTATTTTTAGAAATGTCTTGTATTGTTTTATTTATATGCCAGTTTATTTTGTATGCATAATATAATAAATGACAAAATATAAAATTCAGAAGTAATTTTCAGAGAGCTAATTTAAAAAAACTATAATATAGTAATATTAAACCCGGCCGAAGGCCGGGCAAAAGTGGTCTGAAGGCCCGCAAATTATGGGGTATGGGGGGCTTCGTCCCCCATAAAATTTTTTTTAGTTGAGCCCCCTGAGATTGTAAAGACTAGCGACGCCCCTGGTTATTTTTTAAGATTTTTGAAATTTTTTGACGCTTATGGGCAAAAATATAGATTGCTAACATGTTAAATTAAAATTTAGGGTAGATTTACCATAGAAAAGTGACAATAGTCACAATTGTCAGTTTTCTATGGTATATCTTCACTGAAGTTTTTTAAGACATTAGCAATACTTATTTTAGCCCATTTACACCAAAAAAAATTAAAAAATCAAAAATTTATGATAATTGTCATTTCTATGCTAAATCTTCACCAAATTTTTAATTTAACATGAACCCACTTGAGTCAAAAAATATAAAAAAATTTAAAAATAACGCTTATGACAATTGTCACTTTTCCATGGTACATCTTCATAAAATTTTAATTTAACATGTTTAAGACCATTTACGCCAAAAAAATTAAAAAAACTTTAACAATAATGATTATGACAATTGTCACTTATCTAGGGTACATCTTTACTGAAATTTTATTTTCACATGTTAGCAATACTTATTTTAGTCTATAAAAAAATTTAAAAAACATTAAAATAACGATTATGACAATTGTCACTTCTCCGTAGTACACTTCCCTAAATTTTTAATTCAACATGTTAGCAATACTTATATTAGCCCATTAATGTTATAAAAATTTTAAAAACTTTAACAATAACTATTATGTCAATTGTCACTTTTATATGGTACATCATAATTGAAATTTTAATTTAACATGTTAAAGATACATCTTTTTGCTCATTAGCGTCTCAAAAAATCTAATATGTTTAAAAATACCTATTATGATAATTATCATTTTTCCAAGGTACATCTTTATTGAATTTATAATTTAACATCTTTACAATATAAATTATATTTTAACCCTTTTGTGTCAAAAAGATTTTTAAAATCTTAAAAAATAACGAATATGACAATTGTCACATTAAAATATTATCATATAAAAATAGGTTAAAAATATTTAAAAATTATTTAGAAAAACCATCTCTTTTAATATTCTTAAAAAATAGATAATTTTACAAAAATGATAAAAAAAACTATAAAAGATTTCATCTAAAAGATTATTTATTTTAAAATTCACAAAAGAAATCCTCAAAAAAGAGTTTACAAAGAAAATTTAAAATTTTTATCAAATCAAAATATGTTTCAAAAATCTTTTTGAACTTAAAAAAATATTTTTGCTTAAAATTTTGGGCGTGAAAATCACTAATAAATTGTAACCTTAATGATATGATTACTTTAGTAGCTAATCATATTTTTTTTAAAAAAATAATCCTATGTTCAATCATACACCATTGAACTTCTTAACACATCTCGGATCTCCAGTGGGTAAAGACGAGTCCTTTGTCAAGTTCTTCGCCGACACTCTACTAGAGATATCCCTTATGCGCGATACACTATTTCGCCTCCCAGCCCACCAAGCGTTCTTTCTATTAAAGAACTACCTCCTAATCCCAAAAATTCTATATACACTCTGATCGTCACATATCTTCCAATACGACGTCAACCTCGCTGCACATGAGCTAGAGATTAAACACCTCACAGAAGATATACTCAATCTCAAATTCGGAGACCTATCTTGGCTACAAGCTACCTTGCCAACCAAATCCGGCGGCATTGGCATACGATCGCCTTCCCTACTATCTGTTAGTGCGTTCATATCCTCTCGCCTGTCCTGCGAGCCCATTATACACGCACTCACAAAACATCCTGACCCTTTACTTCCCCAGGCAATTGATCTATGGAAATCTCTTTCATTAGTCGTTCCTCCCTCATCGACACTGCAGAAGGACTGGGATAAGCCTCTAGTTGGCAACTCCGTTGCATACCTTAAATCGAGGAGCCAACCCGAGAACCATTCTCTACTCTTCTCCATTTCCGCAGACAGCGGGTATGAATTTCTCGAAGCTTTTCCATCGCGAAATCTTGACCAGCTCCTAAGCAATGATGAGCTACGTCACGCCATCGGTCTAAGACTTAATTGCGATATGATAATACCCTATCACTGCATCCTTTGTCAAACGCCGGCCAACTCCAAAGGCCGTCACTCTTTACACTGCAAGCGCTGTAGAGGCAGATTCATTAGACATTCAAAATGCAATGATACTATTGCCAGGGCCCTAAAATCTGCCGGTATATCATCAACCCTCGAACCTACTGGCCTCTACAATTCTGATGGTAAGCGTCCCGATGGCTCTACCATGATCCCTTGGAAGAGGGGGGAATTCCTAACCTGGGATTTCTCATGCATCGATCCCCTTGCCCCTTCCAATATAAATAGAGATGCTCTAGTAGACGCCGAGACGAATAAACTCGCTAAGTATTCGCCATCGCTTCCGGCCAATTACACATTCCTACCACTAATCGCCACGACTCTAACGTCGTTCGGCTCTCATGCCCTGGCCTTCTTTAAAGAGCTGGGGAAACGGATCTCTACTAGGACCGAAGATCCCAACGAGGGTTACTACCTACGCCAAAGATTAGCCCTCAATATAATAAAATCCAATTACCTCAGCTTCATATTCTCAATGACTGATACCCCCTAATCACAGAATCGGCGATGAGAAGAGCAATTAAGAACAAGAGAGGGATATTCAAATGGAAGTCAACAAAAGAACCAAACCCTAATCACAGAATCGGCGATGAGAAAAGCAATTAAGAACAAGAGAGGAATATTCAGATGGAAGAAGAAAAACTGAAGGGCAAACTATGAAAACTCATAATTCTTTTAAATCATATGCTCAATTTATTATATTAATATACTATATATTTATTTATATTATTTAAATATATTATTATTTATCCTTAAAAGATATACTAACAAATGTGATTATTTTTTAAATTGACATATTAATGAAATTTAATATAATATTGATCGTTATTATATCATACATTTTATATTACGCTTTATATAAATTATAATAAATTAATAATGTATTTAATAAATAAATCTATTTTTGTAATATAAACATATTTCATAATATAAATAAAATATAAAAATTTTTTTTTTTGATAATAATAAAATATTAATATTAACATTAAATATAAATAAAATAAATAAATAAAATTTTACATAATTTATATTCTTAAAATGTCTGAATTACATATAAATAAATTTCAGCTCTAAATTGAACTCGAGCTACCTTCTGAACAGACTTGTGTCAAATTCTGAGCCAACTCCTCACCCGACTCATATGTCTCAATGAACTGGCTTGCGCCTCAATCAATTTTTCAACTCAAAAAACTGGCTAAGTTTAGGACTAAGCTGACTTGGATCAGCAGTTTAAAAACACTAATTACAAATAAAATATTGGCTAAAAAGTCGGCTTAAGCTAATTCCTAAGCCGACTTGAGCAAACTCCTGATCCGGTTTATTAAGTTCATGATATCAAAATTTCCACCAATTTCAGTCTAAAATCCATATAGCCAAATTCGGGTCCAAAACCATTATTAGCTATGACATAAATATTTCAATTATAATTTTTGTTCAAATTTAACAATTTAGTTACTACACATACACATTTGAGTTATCTGTTTATAAAAATATAATTTACTTATAATTAAAAAAATTGAGCAGACCAAGCGAGTCGACTAAACAAGCAGACAAAGAATGCCGACTAAGTGAGCCAACTAAGTGAACTGACTAAGTGAGCTAACTAAGCAGGCCGACTAAGTGAGCAACCGACTAAACGAGTAGGCTCATGCGGCTCCTTGATCGGCTGAGTCGGAGCCGTTTCTTACGACTACGACTCGAGTAGCTAGTCGTAAGAACTCGACTTTTTATCGACACTAGTTCAAACTATTCTGCCATCTATGGGCTAAGTCTTCAGGCTTGCTTAGTATTTTTAGGCTGGGTTAGCCTTTTTTTTAAAATCGAGTCGATACATAAATTATTTAATTACCAATTTTTATTTTATTAAAATGATAAATATTATAGTTACATAATAACATATGTAGTTGCATAAGAATGTATTGTTTTTTTTTTCATTAATATTGAATATAAGTTGTTAGAATTTACAAATTCAAATGATATAATTAAATTTTTTTTTACAAAAAATTCCATTATTAAGTATGTTTCATTAAAATTATCATTATTGTAATTATACAAATACCCTATGTAGTAGTGTTGTTAAATGGCTCATTTTGAGCCGATTTTTAAAAACGGCTAACTCAATATTTTAGACAGAAAAATATTGCCTAGGCCTCGAGATTTCATTAATAGATGTCTAAACCTTTGGGTCATCGATGAGAAAAATCTTTAGGCTTGCATAATATTTTTTCTGAATAAAATATTGAGTTATACGTTTTTAAAAATGAGCTCAAATCGAGCCGTTTAACAACACATATGTAGTTGCATTTAAGAACTTAACGTTAATTAATCTCTTTCATTAATATTGATTAAATAAGAATGGCATTTAAAATAATTGAATAAATAAAATTCCACATTTTGCTGCTAAAGAATAATTTTTAGTAATGTAAGTTTTTTTAATTTTATCATTTTTGGAAAACTCCAGTGCACCCTCAAAATCAGCTGCATTCATTCGTAAAGGCATGGTGAGAAAGAATTGTCACAATATTTTTATTAAAATTTTAAAATAGATTCGTTTTATTTTAATCCAGAATAGAGCTGGCAAAACAAGGTTAGCAAAATGGTTTATGAATTTTGATGATGATGAAAAGCAAAAGCTAATTGAAGAAGTTCATGCTGTGGTCACAGTGCGTGATGCCAAACATACAAATTTTGTGGAAGTTTAATACTAACTTATAAATTTTATATATAGATATAATGTAGTTTCGAAATTTTAAAATTGTATATAGAAGATATGCAGGATTATATTTTTGTATATGTGTTGATATAACTGATAATAGTTTATTCTACCTTGAAGCTATACATAATTTTGTGGAAGTTCTCAATGAGTATTTTCACAATGTTTGTGAACTAGATCTTGTATTTAATTTTTATAAAGTAATGTTTTATAATATATATATAATTCTGAAATTATAGGTCTATACTGTTGTTGATGAAATGTTTATGGCTGGTGAAATAAGAGAGACCAGCCAAACAAAAGTATTAAAACAACTATTGATGCTTAATTCATTGGAATGAAATTTAAATAAATTAATCATATTTTATTATTTTACACAAATATATTTCCTGGCCTACATTCAAAATTATATTTATATTTATCATGTTTTGATAACTAACTTTTAAATTAATTTTTGTAAATGGTTTTATTCAGTGGATTTTATATATTTAAAAAATTTGAAGCTATTGCAAATTATCTATTTGGTGAGTATATTAAAAAGCCTAATTTGAGTTGATTTTTAAAAATTATTAAGATTTTAGTCAAAATAATATTTTATAAGCTTCAAGATTTGCAAATAAGGCCCAAATCATTTCTGCCATCTATGAGAATAATATCCAGACTTAGATATTATTTTGGCCAAAATATTTAAAAATTGGACTTTTTAACTCTAGGTTTAGGTATTGGGTAGTTATTGGGCTATCATCTATAATATAATTTAACCCTAAGATAATCAAAGAAGTTTGCATCACAAAAATTGGGCATGACTAAAATACGCGTCCCCGAAAACTACACGTCCCCGGTCAAAGAGGTTTAATTTATATAATATTAATATAAAATCTTATTAGCTTCATAAAATAAGTTAAAAAATGTTTTTTATAATTTTTAAAAAAAATGATATCTTAGTAAAATTTTAAAAAATTTATTTTTTTTAAAAAAAAACTACGCGTCCCCGGTCAAGATACAATTTTTTTTTAATAGTAAAAGTAGATTCATATTTAGCTCATTAAATGAATATAGAAAATGTTTTTTATGATTTAAATAAAATGTGTTAATTTAGTAAAATTTTTAAAAATTAATTTTTTTAAAAAAAAACTACGCATCCCCGGTTAAGATACAATTTTTTTTAATAATAAAAGTTGATTCATATTTAGCTCATTAAATGAATATAGAAAATGTTTTTTATGATTTAAATAAAATGTGTTAACTTAGTAAAATTTTTAAAAATTTATTTTTTTAAAAAAAAACTACGCGTCCCCGGTCAAGATACAATTTTTTTTAATAATAAAAGTAGATTCATATTTAGCTCATTAAATGAATATAGAAAATGTTTTTTATGATTTAAATAAAATGTGTTAACTTAGTAAAATTTTATAAAAACTAATTTTTTACATGAAAAAACTACGCGTCCCCTATCAAGATACAGTTTTTTTTAGAAAATAAAAGCAGATTCATATTTAGCTCATTAAATGGATACAGAAAATGTTTTTTTTGATTTAAAAAAGAAGTGTTAACTTGGTAAAATTTTGAAAAAACACTCATTTTTTTCATTTTTTGACTAAACTACGCGTCCCCGGTCAAGATAGATTATTTTTATAAAAATAAATATAGAATCGTGTATAGTTTTTCAAGGAGATTCCGAAAATGGTATTAAGAATTATTTTTTTTAAAAAAATTAATTTTCGAAAATTTTTTTTTTGACTAAACTACGCGTCCCCGGTCAAGATACTATTTTTTTAAAAAAATAAAAGCAGGTTCATGTTTAGCTTATTAATTGAATATAGAAAATAATTTTTATCATTTAAAAATAATGTGTTAACTTAGTAAAATTTTTAAAAATTTATTTTTTTAAAAAAAAAACTACGCTCCCTACGCGTCCTTGGTCAAGATACAGTTTTTTTAAAAAAATAAAAACAGATTCATATTTAGCTCATTAAATGGATACAGAAAATGTTTTATTTGATTTTAAAAAAAAGTGGTAACTTAGTAAAATTTTGAAAAAACACTTTTTTTTTTCATTTTTACTTTTTTTTAAAAATAAAATAAAACATTTTCTGTGTCCATTTAATGAGCTAAATATGAATCTGCTTTTATTTTTTTAAAAAAACTGTATCTTGACCGGGGACGCGTAGTTTTTTTTTAAAAAAAAATAAATTTTTAAAAATTTTACTAAGTTAACACATTTTATTTAAATCATAAAAAACATTTTCTATATTCATTAATGAGCTAAATATGAATCTACTTTTATTATTAAAAAAAATTGTATCTTGACCGGGGACGCGTAGTTTTTTTTTTAAAAAAATTAATTTTTTAAAATTTTACTAAGATATCATTTTTTTTTTAAATCATAAAAAACATTTTTTAACTTATTTTATGAAGCTAAATAAGATTTTATATTAATATTATATAAATTAAACCTCTTTGACCGGGGACGCGTAGTTTTCGGGGACGCGTATTTTAGTCACCCCAAAAATTGGTCCCTCAGAGATCAAACAAAAAAAAACATAATGTCTTAATAACTACCCACTTTCCAAATAAATATACATTTAACCTACCTCTCTAAATGCCACCAAATGCACATATATGGTATATAGCTCTTAGATGTTAATTATTTACAAATACCTTAATAAAGGCCTTTTACAGAAATGTGCAGATGATTAATATTGTGACCTAATGCTCACAGTAATAGTCAGTATCAATATATTAGCTAATACTTTCAATCTAAACTGATACCACATTCAATACCCAAAAATGATAATTGTGCTCTCAAATTAAATTGTTTTTAGCCATCATTAAGCCACAAATTGATAAATAAATTTTAATCTACAAATTTCTGAACTGAATATATTATTAAACCCTTCAATACTTTGGTAAGGTATATGAAACCCCAGGCATGCTAGAAATCATATTGCATAAAAACAGTTAAATATTTTTATCTGAATAGCTTCATCAAATATATCTTAGAATCTATATTCCAAATTTCATACATTTCGGTTGAGTAGTTTTTAAAATATAAACATTTTGTGACTGATTGGGGTTTGTGAGACCCCACCAGAGTAAATTTGTATGTTCTATATTTTTTTATATTTGAATGTATTAGTGTAATTTTTTTTTATATTGAAGAATAAAGATCCATGTTATGAATTATCATGATTATATGATATATAAGTTAATTTTTTCATTTAATATTTTAAATTTAAAAAAAGTTAGCTTTTTTTAGAAAATTTTGGGACAAATTATATTACTTCTCATCATTTTTAATTTAATTTAAACTTAAGAAATAAAAATAAATAATTATTTTATCAGGTTTAAGGTTAGTTCTATCTTATTATCCAAATATTAAATCTAAATAATGAATATAACTGGAGATATATGCATTTGAAATTGGGGTCTATTAAACCCCACCCGAGTATTAACTTGATTTTTGTCACCGGATTATTGAAGGGTTAATTATAAATGTTAAAAATAATAATATTAGTGAATTTTTTTTTTCAATAAACAAACACTACATATAATATATTTTATGGGGGTTGATGGTGATCAATGGTATCATTGCATAGAAGTTAGTGGGGGTAGAACTTGCTTGTGGTTTTTTTGATAAGATTTTTGGCTCAGCTCATAAATTTTTTTGTCCAGCCCACCCCATAATAATTTTGTACTAATTGTCTGGCCTACCTATAATTTTTTTATGAAGTAAGAAAGACATAAATACCTAATTCTAGGTTTCTTTTTTTGAGAACTTTAGGCATGCTAAAAAAATTGTCACAAGTTGTCAAGCTGGGTCCAAGAAATTTATTTAAGATCAGGTTACGCTAACCTCTATACTGCACCTCTAACCTTCTAAATTATATAAAAGGTATAATAAGGGAATTTAAAATTCTTTAATCCATATATTATAATGTTTTATTAAATACAGTTTATACATTCAAAGATGATTACAGTACTATAAAAAGTAATTTCCTAAAAATCAATTTAAATTCACTCTTCCTCAGATGAACTATCTGACTCATCCTTTTCCTCATCACCCTTTTTATCAACTTCTAACTTTTCTGCCTGTTTACCCTTAATATCTTTATCAATCTTGAGTAATTCGGCAGGCTTTGGTTTTACCTCAAATTTGACATCACTCTCAGCTGGTTTTATATACGTGGATTTTTTATCATCTTTTGACTCAGCATAATATGTATCTTCATTATCCTTTTCATAATCGACGTAATCGCTTTTACCTAACTTTGAATAATCGAATAAATGAGATGCTGCTCGGGGCAGATTTTCATTCTCTTCATATTCTTGCATGTAATTTTCACTCACTTCTACTTTTTGTGGTACATAGTCTTGTAAATATGCTGAGCTCGATTGAGGTGTTTCCTCATATTGATTTGTGAAATCGAGTACACCAGATTTATTTTCTTTTGTATCACTTCTGCTCTCGGCTTCTAACCTGGACAAAATATTTGGGCCAATGTCCGAATATCTCCTAACCAAAACTGAAAAGGTAGTGTCATCTATCAGTTTATCATCCCTGAGTGCTTGAATTTTTGTTAGGATTCTCTTTCCCAATACCCTATCATAAACTGCTGTAATCACTGGTGCAGCCATGGAAGGTAAATCGTACAATGGTTCTTTACGAATTTCTTCAAAAAATACTTGGAAAGACATACTATGTTCATCGGTATCGAATTCATGAATTATTGCTTTTTTGTTTTTATCAGATTTTATATCGCCACCTTTGTATTCTTGTATCAAATTGAATTTTTTATAGTCGAATTTTGGCGTGTAATCGGGTATTTCTACGGATTTCAATGCTTTTGTCAGAGCCAGTTTTTCATTTTCGTAATTTTTCTCAACTTGTTCCACCTTATCCGTTGTCATTATCATTCTAAGTAACAAATATAGCGTTGTCAGAAATAAGAGTACTATCGACGGTGTACCCAGTCCGATGATTAAATTGAAATACTGAGGTCCAGAATCGATACGAATTTTTTGGCATACGTCTATCACCTTCTCGGTATCCAAAGGAAGAAAAGAAAAGTTTAGAATTTGAGCTTTTAACGTGGTTTCTAATCCTAAAATTAGATCTTTGCTATAGGGATAATGATAGTGAAGTCCATTTTTATAAATGTATATAGATTTCGGACTGCAATACCCATTATCGATTTTTGCTTTATTATCCCTCATCCAATGCATTAACGGTTGTAGATCGCAGTCACACAACCAAGGATTATCGTTCAGGTATAAAAATTGTAAACTCTCCATATTTTGGAATATTTTTGGATTTAAAATTTCGAATTGATTGAAGGAAATATCTAAAATTTCCAACTCTTTTAAATTGACAAATGCGGAATCATCTATCCAATACAAATGGTTATGGGATATGTTTATTATTTTTACTTGGGATATGTTATCGAAGATGTTCTCCTTCAGTACCCTTATATTGTTATGATTTAAGTATAGAGCGTGGATATTTAAATTATTTTCGAATAATATAGCCTTTAATACAGATAGTTTTTGTTCGCTTAAATTCAAATGACTAGAATTTGCCGTAAAATTTCTTATCATCTACAATGTTTAAATAAGTAATCTAGCATTTCACATGCTTCAAGTCAAATGTGATAAGGATATTCCGAATATACTCTTGGAAATAATAGATAAAATTATGTGACTAAGATATAATATTAAGATTTGAAAATTTAGAATTGTCAATTAATTCTAAAATAATAATTACATTAATTTTATTATCAAGCTTATTTTTCTAATTTAATTTTTGTTCTCTTGTAAGAATTGTTCAATTTCTTTTAACGTTTAAAAAAAATCAATCATAAGTTAACCAGAGACGTAACTTGTCCTATTGTAGCTAGAGATGCCATTGAGTAAAGACTGCAGATACAATATGATTAAAATGCCTATATTAATGCAACCATTATTTGCATGCCTTTATATTTATATTATTTGAATAATAGTTTTTTACGTTATAATTTTTTTTAAATATACTTTAATTTTAATTTAATAATATTTTTATTCTATATTATATCAACCAAAAAAACTAGATTCTCAACTCCACCCCCTTTGATTTTTTATCAAATTTATATATTGGTAGTTTATATTAGCGATGTGTTTTTTTTTCCGAAAATGTATTATTTTTTCAACTTTAAATCGTTTTTTGAGCTCCTTTTTTTTTAAATTTTGATTTTACGGGAAATGTATATTCCAGCATGTTTATAATACATATTTTATAAATTGTAGATAATTTTACCTATAACTTTTGAGTCATTTATAATTTATATGGAAAATCAATGGAAAAACTAATATAATTTATATTAAGTTCAAAAGTTCATGACAAAATTATCTGAAATTGATAGGGTGGATATTCCAAAATACATGTCCGGTAAATTAGATTTTTAAATTAAAAAAAACCCCGCTCAAATGATTTAAAGTTGAAAAAGTAACACAATGCCGGAAAAACACATTGACCCCAACATATACATTAATTAAAAAATATGTAAAATTTTACTTTTCAAATCGGCTTACTTCGTGAGATATGGCAATCTTTAGAAACGCTAAACTCGAAATTCCCTAATACACTATATTTAATTTTAAAAATCTCAAAAAGAAGCTAAATAAAACTTTATTAAAATTTTATTAAATAGCTCAATATTAGCCCTTTAATATAAAATAGAAATATAAAACTGGAAATAGCTATAAAGAGAAAATTGCTCTTTTTTTCTTTTAAATTTTTTTTTACAGATAGACATTATACTCTTTAATATTTGTACAAAATCATCTGGGACGAATATTAGACTAAGAGTTATTGCACTTTAAAAATAAGTTATATTGTTTAAATCCTATATTATACCAAATATGTAGTAATTTATTTTTTTTAAAGAGGTCAATATGCAAAAAAAATAAAATTGAAATCCTAAAAAAAACCCCGACTATTTTGCACTTTTTTGAATATTATAAATAACTGAAAAAAAACGTTTACCAAATTGTACTATATTATAAAAACGTATAGCGCCTTAATTTGGACGCATAAATAAAAAATAATAATAATTTTGTAAAGAGTAATAGAGTAACAACTATGATAATAAAACCCCAATAATTTCTTCACCCTATCCAAGGATGGACTCTCGCCCTGAAAAAGAAAAACTCTTTTTATATTACGAATTTTTCTGGCAAATCTGTGAGTAAACGATGTAGTTATTTTTTTGCGAGATAATTAAATTTTTGTGTTCATCAGAAATATATTTTCATTTTAAATATTATTTAGAAAAATACAGTTTATTATAACAAATAAATCTCATATTTAATAAATATCTCTCAAAGTTTATTCTTCTTAAAATAATACAAAAAAATAATTATATGACATAAAGTTATACTGGAAATTCCAAGAGCATTGTTATTGATATATTTTACCATTTATTTACGAAATTAAATCATATATTCATTAGCCAATTTATTTATTAATTTCAACAACTCATAATTTTATAAAATTAATAAACATTTTTTATTTCTTACCAAAATAATTTAAATGTCTACAAAGAGAAAATTTTTTTATTTCAATTCCAGTAATATGCCGCAACCCCTTTTATTTAAAATCACTATTAATAAATTATGATCTTGGGTTATTCCATGGATGATACAAGTTAATTCTAGCTTATCAATTAATCAAAAAATTTGTAGTTCTTGCCTGAAAAATTTCAATAAATTTATACTTTTCTGATGGAGATGCTACCCAGTATAAAAACAAAAAAAACTTTTTAACATCTATAACCATGATAATAATTTTGGGTTCAAAACAGAATGGTATTTTTTTGCAACTTCACATAATAAAACTTCTTGCGATAGTTTAGCATTACTAAGAAGTTAGCTGCTAGAGCAAGCCTGCAGCGTCCTTATGATAATCATATACTAATACCTATGGATTTATGAAATTATGGGTGAATTAATATCCCTGAGATTCATTATATATTTGCCAGCAACTTCGAATATATTAGCATGGAAACTAATTTCGAAAATAGATTTTTAACAATATAACGAATGTCCGGAACACAAAAATTTCATAGATTTATTTCCATAAGAAAAAATGGAAAGACAAATTTTATTCAAATTCATTTAATAATTAACTTTTTCAAGCCCAGTCCGTAATTTCTATAAAAAAAATATGGGCCCCGAAATAAAAATTATTTGTCCCTGTCCCGAATTTATTTAGTTATAAAAATTGTCAATCTAGCGAAGATTCCATGGGAGAATAATGTCTATCTGTAAAAAAAATTTGAAAGAAAAAAAAGAGCGATTTTCTTTTTATAATTATTTCCGGTTTTTGGTAATAGATTTATTTTTGATAATATGAATTTTAATCATATTAATGGGCTATTTTAGAGTTATTTAATAAAATTTAAATTATGTTTTTATAATAACATTTTGAGATATTTAAAATTAAATATAGTGTATTTAGGGATTTTTGTGTTTCTAAAGATGACCATCTTAAGAAGCAAGTTGAGTTGGGAATTAAAATACACCTGATAAATTTTTTTAAAATATATTTTAATGTCTAGCGCTTATATATGTTTTTTTCATATATAAAGGCTGAATTGTTTTTATAGTTTTTAAATATGACATAATAGATTTAGTTAAAGTTCTGTCTCCTTTTAAGGCAACATTTAGCGCTGCTATCAACCTAAATATACTAATATAAGGATACCTCGCTTCAGAGATCTGTATTAAACAAAACATATTTAATACTTAACGATATTTGCTGACAGGGTAACTCGGAGTATATTTTTTAGTCTATAATAATTACAATCATAATGCTTGATAGAAATTTTCAATTGCCAAACAAGAAATTGATGAATCCATACTCATTTGCTTCAAGGCTTAAACATTTGTCGATTAACTGCTCTGACCATTAATTTCACAACGGTTTTATTGAATTTCTCACTAATTTTGATATCACATTCACTTCTCATTGATAACATCGCATTTAAGAAAGCTCTGTAAATGATGACGTGTTCGAATACTCCAGAATAGAGATATCTAGATTTCAGCACTTACACTGAATTATGTACAATTATTATAAACTACAAATGTCTTATAGACCCCTTTAGTAAATGACGCTGATGCTCTCCCTATGACCAAAATAAAATGTTGATCGATTATTGCACCATAATTCAACACGGTTCTTTATATATCTAGATCTGTTAACATCTTACATCGAGATGCTATAAAAAATTCCAAATTATTGATAAGGACATGAGTGGAAATAGTTATAAAGATTGCCGAAATTATTTGTTATTCAAACCTCATTTCAAATGTGGGAAAACGTACCAAAATTCCTTTACACAGATTAATTTCATATACATATAGACGAATATAAAAAGGCGTTGATCGATTGAAACACATACAATTGGGAATTATAAAAAAGTGTGCTATTTTTATTCTGACATTGCCCATAATAAAGATAAATGGTACCGTTAAAATTTGGAGTTTCGACTTGCACATTTTTGTATTTATATTAAAATACATTTATCAATCATTTATCTTGCATGTCGGCGATTGAAAGATATAGAGAATCAATCAGAAACTACAAATAACCATACCATTATGAGTCATTACAATATAGGGTAATATAATTTGAACAAATACTACTTTGAAACCAAAGAATTTTTAAGTTGTATGCTTTGCCCCGCCTCCCAAAATTAGTAAAGCGTATTGGCCTTTTGCAAGCACACAGAGACATTTTCAAATTTTTGCTTATCCTGTGAAACTATATTTTAAATAAAATACTGAAAATTTTATAAAGAGTTTTGAATTATTTTTCGACCAAATTATCCATTAAATTTTTAGAATATTTTTTTAGAAAAATTCTTCCCTCTAAAATCAGCGCTACAAGTGGATCATATTAATGATCGAAAACAAGTCTGTCCAAAAAAACTTTTGAAAATTTTATACAAAATTATCTTTTATAGGAAATTTTTCTGTATTTATATTATTGTTATTTCTTTCTCACCTCCCCCTTTTCCCAAGAAATTATTGTATTCGCGTCTGAATTGATTATATTTTATTATAATAAAATATAGTATAATTAATAACTGATGAATTCGGATTCTTATTATTTTTTTTACAATTTTTTTGCGATAAATTCAATCTTTCATTTTGTTTATAAAATATTATGTTAAATATAATTTAAGAAAGATTTATTAACTAATTTCAAAAATTATTTATGTTAAGTTATCCATGATATATTGGAAAATATCCAACTTTGCTGCGTGGAGCGAGTTACAGAGCATTTTTTCATCTCTAAATTCCATAGCGATGTAAAATTATTTTTCTCCACAGTTAGGCAAAGATTATTCCAGATATTCTTCAATTGATTTGTCTGCATAACATTTAAAAAAAATAATTTTGATAATTGTTTTTATATTTTCATTATAGAACAAAAAATAAAAGTTAACAAATTTTTGTTTTGAATTTACTTCATATTATATTCTACTGATATGTATATTGCCTGATTAATATATTAGGCAATCCTTGTTTACCCATTATATAAATTAAGAATGAAGCAAAAGTTCATGATCAAATTAAAAATTCATATGATAGTACTATTATACATATTTTGGAATACATTTTACTATCCTAATCCTAAAAACCAGAGATTCAAATCGTAACGAATAGGGTCAGATAAAAATAACAAATAAGGTTCGGTTCGTAGAAAATAATATCGGTTAGGTTTGAACCTTTAAAAACTGGTTCAATCATTTTCGCAAGCGTGTTAAAATTATGTAAAATAACAATTTTTTTTTTTAATTTTATCATTTTTCTCTAAAAAATAATACTGAGCCAGAATTAAAATATTTTCAAGATTCTCTTCAGAAGGAAGAATAAATTTTAGGGCTGAGTACACTTCTTTATGATAATTTGGAGCTGGCACCGTCGATATAGAAAAATATCTAAAAAGAATTACTGATACTTTTTAGTCAAAACCGATTATTAATCATCTTTAAAAGAGTTAAAATATCAAAAAGTTCAAACCGGTTAACAGACATTTTTTCTGTAAATAATAGCTGTTAATACCGGTTTATCAGATTCGGTTTAAATTGTTGCTAAAAACAGGTTAAGCAAATATTGTACTATTTTCTAAATTTTAATAATTTATTAACCCTTTCTTGTTTTCTTTTATTTAAATTTTGATTTTGGCGGAAATACATTCCAGTAGGTATAGAATACCTGGCCTATAAATTTCAGATAATTTTTTAAGATTATTATATTATATTTATTGACTAAGGCAATGCACGTAATTGCCTAAATATGCACATTGCTTAAAACGCACATAATATATTATGAAGGCAATTAATACTTTGTAATCATAGGTCCATTTCTCGGATGATTTCGAATAATCGCACAATCTTAAAACGATGCGGTGTTCTAACATAATATTTGGATTTTTCAATTGTAATTCATAACTGTCTAGGCACATGAACTCCTCGGTCATGATCATACCATTTTTCTTGAATATAAATAGCTATTTTTGTGCCAAGCATGATCGAATTGTTATTAATCATTTTTAAAATTAAATATTTATTTGCATATTTTAAAACTTATTATAATTAACTCGGTTAGATAATCGCCAATTTCTTTAAATGAAAGACGATCAAATTATAGGAATTCATAGTCCTAAGTTTAATTTTTATTCATATATAAATAAATGATAATTTATTAAATCGTAAAATTAACTATATTTAGATTTGGGTAACGGTTTTAGCTTAATTGACGGTGTTTCAGCTTTAGTTAAAAAGTACACTTGGCTGCGTTACCACCCAATGGCCCATAGGGCTAGTTATATTAAAAAATTTAAGACTGTATACTTGATTAGTTGACTTTAGTTTATGGCATTCGATTAATGATAATTGAGAATAAAGTCCATTTATACCGACCTTCGCATTCAAACATAAATTAGTATTCTTTTGGATTATCTTATCAAAAAAGCGAATTTAAGGAATAGTTTTAATAAATTCGATTTTATACTAAATTATTTTTTATACCTTTCCAAAATATGTGTAATTATTGGGGAAATAATTTTCGGGATATATATTTTGAAGGTACCAATCGAAATTTTTGCAATGTAATTTGTTTTTTAAATCGATACGGGATGATATGTTAGTCAAATACTTGAAAATTTTGATATCTTGAATAAAATAAGTTAAATTTCTTAAGAACAAAACACTATATTTTTTTATAATTAAATTTTGGCTCAAAGATAAATTAAAGGTAAAACTCAATCCACGTGATAATCAAAATTTATTCTGATTGCCACAATCTTATTAAGAGAACTTTCTATCGTAAAAATAAAGAATTTATAGCAAAACCTTAAAGCTTATTTAAGTAAATTACCCGGAGAAATGAAATAGGCGAAATTTTTGTAGCTATCCAGCCAAACCTCTATCAAGCGGGCCAAATTTCTGTTTAAATTAGGCATGACTCCCCCGGGAAATGTGTATGGGGAATTTTTGCGGAAAACGTGGCCTACATGCGAACACGGATGAATTTCTATCGATCCACCACACTGCCAAACCTTTTATAATTTAATTTTAAAATGTACAATATTCAAGTTTAAGTTATTCATTTTAAAGAGTTAAGACATAAGAAAACCCTAAACGAAAGCTCTAGGTTTTCTCCTCCCCAAATGGTCATTTCATCATCGTAAGTTCCTATAGCTTGAAAATAATCTTTTCGTATAGCAAAAAGTCCACCAGCCATAGTGGGAGTGCTATAAAAATTATATGAATAGATGTTATGTTATAGAGAGTTGTTTAAATAATGCCGTTTTATTGTGGGATGGATATATTTTAAAATGAGCTGCCCCTGTGTCCAACATATAGTCTACAGCGCTCAAATTTTAAATAAAAGTTTACACCATGTTTTATAAACTAGTCTCTAACCATATCTTAGTTTTATTGAGAAGAAAAGGATAAGCTAGACCAGGGTGCCCCTTCCAGAAAAATTTTTTTGGCCCCCAAACCTAGCCCCTAGAAAAAATTTTTGGCAACCAAATTTTGAATAAATTATTAAATATTAATTCACCATCAATAATTAAATCTAAATGAAAATACAACAAAATTTTTAGAAAAATATTATTTAATTTATACAAATTAATAAACAAGTTGTGAAAAACTGAGCATAATTATTCATTATATTTTTTGTGAAGAAATCCAAGAAAATTTAATAGGAATCATTAATTTACAATGTCTTTCTACTGAAAGCATTACTAATATTTTAAAGCAAATGAATGAATTAAATATTAGCCTATTGGTGAAGTATTACTTTACTTTTCTAATAGGGCTCTTAACTCAGAAATTTCCACTCATGATCAGGGTTGCCAGGTCAAAATTTTTAAATTGCGGGAGAAATTATTTTGTGGGAGAAATATGAAAATTGCGGTAGAAATATAAAAATTGCTAAAAAAAAAAATTTCGCTGCCCGAAGGCCCGAAAAGCGCTGGCCTTCGGCCGGGATTTTGAATTGACTTAATTATCCGCCTTTATTTTTTATAAATACAATGTCGGTAACTATTTTTCAATATAAAATAACATCTTGATTTATTAAAATATATTATTTATAAAAAAACCAATGATCCTTTTTAAATATAAAAGATGTAAACAAGATAAAATTTTATAGAAAAAACATTCAATATTAATTTTACAATGTAAAAAATATAAAAACATCCGCAACTGGAAATCTACCTTGTGTGTGTGTATAACATTATAGGGATAGGCGCTTAATTATCACGTATTAAAAACATAATAAGGTAATATTGTACTCATTTCAATGATAATTATTTTATTTATTATTGTTCAATCACATTATTAAAATCAGTGCAAGAGAGTTTATCTACATCCATTGCAAAACAAAAATATTCTCCAAAAATAAAAATAATACAGATGCAACTACAGTTGCGGCAATTGTAATCACTTATCTTGTAGTACAACATTCACAGAGCTACTTATCATTACAATGTGTGTAGAATCTTTCCCCATAATATTTTTTAACGAGTGATAAATGAAAACTTTACTTGTAGAACAAAAATGATCAAGAATATCATCAATGTTTTAGAACCTTGATTCAGGAGGTCAATTCTTGACGATTTGAAAGATGGGCAAACATATGCAATTCTAACAGATGCATCTAATAAGTAAAATATTAAAAAATTTCCCTTGATCCTCCGCTATTTCAACAAAATTAAGGACGTTTCAAGAAAACGATTAAATTTTTTCCCCTTAAATAGTGAAAAATCCAAAGACATAGTTAACCATATAATGGTAAATATAGCAGATTCGGGATTATCAATAAATTGCATGTCAGCTTTCTGATCTGATAAAGCCTATTTGAAAAAACCAAAGTGTATTTACAGAATTAAGTCAGCACAATGTTGGTTGCGATATGTTCCTAATACCCGCCATCGATAGAATCTTAAAATTTTATAAACCTTTAAAAATATATTTCTTAAATAAAGATTATAAAAGCTATCTTAACATTTTGAAAATTTTTTTCAATAATGAATGGCAGAGATATATTTAGGATTGATTTCACATGTAGGCAATCTACTACATGCTGTTAATGTGCAGTTGCAATCAGAAGAATCTTAACAAAGATTCACAAAATTATGCTGCAGATGTGTTCATCTACAGTTAAAAATTGACAATAAATTTTATGGCGCCATTGATAAAACTATATTAAAATGTTCAAATTTAAAAATACCAATAGACATTGATATCTTTTTTGAGGAGATTGTAATGCTCTCTATTTTTGATTTACAATGTAAAAAATATAATTATTTTATAAAATATAAAAAAATATTAAAAATTAAATAGTTATAATGTTAATTATATTTTATTTGAGATTTATATAATGGAACTAAACGTTTACAGTCGTTATTGAGATATATAAAATTCCTGGCATGACATATTATAAATTTGTTTAACCATTAGCCCGGCCTCTAATGTTAAAACAATCCGATTTCTCTCCCTTTTTCAGGCACTCCTCATCAGGCTAAAAATGCGCTCGGATGAGGCATTAGAATGAGGTAAGAAGAAGACATACTCGCATATTTTTACCAAGCATGGGGATTTGTTGTTATTACGAAAAAATTCAACCCATTTCTCCTCTACTTTTAGACCTTCTAACTTTGAGTATTCCTTCTAATTATAAAAAATAGAGAGAATTACAATCTCCTCAAACAAGACATCAATGTTTTTCAGTATTTTTAATATATTTATTAAATTACAAAAACTATCAATTGATGGTTTCTGTTCCAAGGTCATATTTATACATTTGTAAATAGAGTTATTAAAATCAAATTTGTAAATATTTTAAAATTGTCTTAATAAAAATATCTGCTTCATTTAAAAATGTAATAATTAGAGTATTATTTGAACATTTTAATATAATATTTTTAGCAATAGCGCCATAAAATTTATTATCAATTTTTAAATGATATGAACAGAGCTGTAGCATGATCTTGTGAATCTTAATTAACCTCTTAATGGTTAACGGTGCATATATGCACCAGGCTAGATTTTCTATTTAGGATTATTTTTTTTGGCTGATTTTTTTAGAATATCAAATTTGAGCATTAATCAATATAATTTGAAAAAATTGAGCATTTTTATCCGCTAGAAAAATTTTGACCATTAATGGGTTAATAAAGAATATTCTGATTACAACTGAATATTAACTGCATGAAGTAGATTTCCTACATGTGAAACTAATCCCAAATATGCTTCTGCCATTTCATAATCCAAAAAATTTTTCAAAATTTTAGGACAGCTTTTAAAATCTTTATTTAATAAGTATTTTTTTAAGCGTTTGTAAAATTTTAAAATTCTATCGATGGCAGGTATTAATGATAACCACCTGATAGGTATATATCGCAACAACTCACACCATTCCAACAGAGGCATTATCAGCGCAGATAGCTGATATGCAATTCATTGATAACCCTGAATTAGCTATATTTACATTATGTGGTTAACTACATCGTTGGATTTTTCACTATCCGTGGAAAATTTTTTTAACAGTTATATTGAAATGTTCTTATTTTAGTTAAAATAGCTAAGGATCAAGAGAAATGTTTTAATATTTCCCTTATTAGATGCATCTGTTAGAATTGCATATGGATGCCCATCTTTCAAATCGTCTAGAATTGACCTATAGTATTCAGGTACTAAAACACTTGTGATAGCCTTGCTCATTTTTGTTCTGCCACAAGTAAGGTTTGCACTTATATTGGAGTGGTTAAATATCACGAGAAAAAGATTCGACCCACATTATGATGATATAGCTCTGTGAATGTTGAACTACATGATAGATGTATACGATTTCCTCAAATGTAGTTGCATCTGTATTATTTATTATTTGAGAATATTTTTGTATTGCAATCGATGTTGATATACTCCCCTGTACTGACTTATATGAACGAAATGATGTTGATTTATTATTGGATAAAAATAAAATAGGCTAGAATGAAATTTACAAACTAGACATGTTTTTCGAATAAATATTTAAAATTAATTTAAAAATATAAAAATAATCAATTAATGTCTCTCAAAATTATTATTTATATATTAAAAATGTTAAAATACTAAAAAAAAATTGTGGTAGATTTTTGCAGGAGATTTGCAATTGCGGTAGTTTTGCGGGAGAGAAATGTCTGCGTGTAAACTAAAAAATTGCGGGAGTCTCCCGCTGATGTGGGGAGACATGGCAACCCTGATTATGAAATGAAAATAGCAAAAGGATTTAGCTGCAGAAGTTAAAGATACATAATTTTGAAAATATCATATATATTATATATAAAAAAAAATATAATCTTGCATTTAAAAAATTGTATAAATGCTACTCAGCAGATATCATCATGTATCAACGGATTTTTATGAGGCCCCATTCTCTACACTAAAGATAGTTCTATCGAGCACTAGAAAATAGATGATAGATCGACGTAAACAAAATTTAGTATTAATGACTTATGGGAAAAAAATAATAAAGAATTTAATTCATTTATAAAAAATCGTCGATGACAAATTTTTAAAAAAATAGCAAAAAATTTTTATGAGTGCCTAACTATTTGTTCTATTTCAAAAAATATTGGCTCCCCTAAGTAAACAGTTGCACCCTCCCCTTCCAGCCGGAGATTCTTGCCTATGGCCCTGTAATAGACGCATATCCCCCCCCCCCTCTTCTTTGACGGATAATTACATAATAATTTTATATATATTTTACATAGTTATTTTATCTATTTACTCATATGTTAATCGTTTTTTGTTTGTTCTAATCTTACTATTGTACCAACGGAATTGCATTTTCCAGTTAAATCCACCCCAAGTATTTGGAAGTCCTAGGGAATATTCAAATGTATCATCTTTAATCACATCTATCACTGGGCAGATAACAACATTTCTGACATTGAAAAAATGTATATTTTTGTAATTCAATCAATCGTCCTTAAAAGCGTGTAATAAGATAATAACTAAGAATCAGGAGGTGGTAGAATAAAATGTTAATGTACTAAATGTCCGGGATTAATAGTTTTATAAGTTTCTGAACAAAATTAATTTTTTAAAATATGTATACTAATCCAATTCATATAAAAACCTAGCACACATCCAGCCTTACAAAATAGTGTAATAATTCAATGAGATTTTCCAATCACTTTGCTAAAAAATTTTATTTTCAAATTCAAGCAGAGCACATACTTACTTACTTTATGCCATTGTGCAGATTCATCTAATTTGACATGATATCAACCTTAAATGTGTATATTAATTAACGAAGTTTTCTTATCATTAAAAACGTTATCGTCACTAAAAAAACACAAGGCTATCTTCTAAATTTACGATAAAATCCTAAATTAGAAAGATAAAAGGTTTTAATATTTCTAAAATTTTTGTAAAACAAAATATTAAAATTCTATAATATACTTTTTACTGTTAATTCTATCCAGCAAAGGCTCTAACCATCCAGGAGTGCATTCGCAATGTGAATCCAAAAATATTAGTATTTCACTATTAGCTTTTTCGGCCCCTAGTAACCTAGATGCAACTAATCCTGATCTCTGAGGCATTCGATATAATTTAGCCATAATTTCAAGTTCAGCTATGAAAAGTTCTAGTGTCTGTCCTAAAAATTCTAGTTAAAGAAAATAAAAAGTTTTGATCCTTTATTTTTTGAAAATCAAATGAGAAAATTAGATTACTAAATAATACTCATATTAATAATATTAATTAAGTAAAACCGAATACATTCATATATTTTATAGTCTCCTAGAAAAGTATTATAATTTATTTTTATGATTGAAGAATATACAACCAAAATGATCAATTTTAATTTATTAAAGATGTAAATATTTACTAAAGATTAGCCAATATAATTGTAAATATGACGTGGGGTGTCTGGAAAGCCATGTATAGTGCACATTTTTTATTCTTTAAAGACTTGATTTTTCATTGTGCTGCATATAGCATGAGTTTGTATACCTGCCCTATAAATTTAAGACAATTTTATAATGAAGTTTTCGTGTTAACTTTAATTTATACACAAATTTATGGGAATTAAAAATTCATGACAAGGTTGTCTGGTATTCATTGGGTAGGTATACTATACACATAATGGTGAAATACAATTCCGACAAAATCAATTCTTTAAAAATTAAAGAAAATGTGCGTTATAAATGATTTATATGTAAAATATCAGTATATTCACTAAATTCCAGCATATAGTACAACGTATTGTCAGCCATATAAAACCTCGTAAGTGACATTTTTAAAAATACGTTTTTTGTGCGGAGTATTTATTTATAGGTTTCCGTCATCAATGTTTTTTATCATATTGGAGCACATAAAACCACTTCTAAAAATGTCTAAATTTATAATAAAATATATTTTATGAAAAAAGATTATAAGGCCTTACTCATAAGATGTAATAAAGCTTTATATATAATAATTATTAGAAACATGTTTTTTATTACATAATTATTAAATTTTCTTATTAGAATAGTAATTTAAAAAAATTTTTTGTTTCACCCTCCTGATCCTGAACAATCTCAATAAGGTCGTCCATTACTGATTTTGCAATATGGCCTGCTATATAATACTTTACATTTAAAACTTTAATTGTCTAATATTAAATTATATTCACCCCTATCACTGGCGTCATCAACCAATATAATTTCATGTATCAATCGTCGAGGGGATCTATTTATGACACTGCGTATGGTTCTAATCAATGTAGACCAAGCCTCGTTGTGAAATATTATGATAACCGAAGCTTGACTCGAAATTGAATCGTAAATAATGTTTTTGCACCTTTTTTCAGATAATATACGTTTTTGCATAAATTTTAATATTTAAATTTATAACTTGATTTATTTGAAGAGTATTTTTTTTAAATTTAGGATGGAAAAAAATCCAGAAAAAAAATATTAATATAAATAGGATTTTTCTGATTTAAATTATTAATTACTAAGTCTTTTTAATTAAAAATTGTCAAGTTTTGCCAAAGGTAATCTAATTATTTTTTATACTTAAAGTTATATTAGCCTTAAATCTTATTTTAGTTCGATTCAAGAACTTCTATTCTGGTGAGGGGGGAGGGGGGTTATGACGTAAGATCGTCTTAAAATGGAAGGTGATAGGTAGTTATAACGACGTTTTCAATAAAATTGAAGAGAGGTTGGGGATTATTTTGATTTGGAATTTCATCTTTTTTTGCTAGATATGGTATAATGTCAAGGGGAATAAAATCTGGTGGGGGGGAGGGGAGTAGAAGAATAAAATTTAAAACCATCATTGGCTTAGGAGGTGTAGAAGTCCCTGATTGCATTCCTCAGAACTCTTAAATTATATAAAACTTGTAGAAAATTCATTTAAAAAAGCAAGCATTTTGATACTGAATATATAATTTATTATAGTATTCCTATAAGATAATGACAGAAAATTATCAGTATATATAATCAAATCAAAAAAAATTCACTTGTTAGATCTAACATCGCTCAAATTTCTATCCACTGATATAATATCGCTAGCTAATAAATTGAATTGATTAGCTGACCAATATTTGCTAATAATATGTTTGTAATTAAATGGCACATTTACCGGACGACCTAAATCACCTTCTCCTTTGATTGGCGAATAATTATTATGGTTTAATTCGACTGGGTAAAATAAATGAAAAATATTTGATACATATATAAACTTGACGGTAACGACTCAATAAAGGTAATCTTAAAAGTGTCGAATAGAAAGAAAGACAAATATACTTAAATAAAAACACAACGAACAGTAGTAACCTAATTTTATTGTTCTAGTGTCTATTTTACAGATTATAGTTTTTGGCTATCTTCAAAGAGGGTTTCATTTGAAAGACTGAAGTCTCAATCCACAACATATTTGTAACCGATTAAATGAGTTCATGGCAAAAAAATTTTGTATATAAAAGTTGTTAGCTCTAAGGGTTTAACTATACAATATATTTATTTAATATATCCGTCTAGTTTCTTAACTTAAAATATATTTGTATTATATCATGATTATAATATAGTTTTATTTACAAGGTTTTAACTTAACATTATTTTGATAGGAATCGTCTTTTCTAATATATCCCACAATCACTTCCATAGTCGGCATAGATTTTGCAAAATCATAACTTTTATTTGATGACTGATTTTTAAAAAATGGACTATGAAAAGAATTTTATATGTTCCAATATATTTAAAACATATCATCTTCTGAGAATTTTAGTGTTTCATATCCATTTTTTTCCAATTTTACAGGAGTGTATTTTTAATTTTGTTTTCACTATTCAAAGGCAATTTATTTTAAAAAAATTTACTTGTTTACACTATTCAAAGTCATTTTTTTTTCTTTTAAATTATGCTTAAAATGATCATGAATCTAGTTAATATAGTTTTCTTAGAATACTTATATTTATACTTTTTGAGAAATGGAGATGAAACAATAAATTAAGCTTTAAACTTAACTATAAAAATTAAAGTATAACTTTTATCCAAAAATATTTATCCATAACATCAAATATTTTCATAAAATATAATGTTTTGAGATTTTAAAATAATTTTTTATTAGAACCGGTATAATGGCTTAGCGTTTAGCATCGTTTTTTAGTCAATTTTTTTTTATTAAGCAAATTTTTCGTTAAGTTATCTTGAAAAACTCTCCTATATAAATCACGTGACATGATTTTTAGAATCCCAATTATTTTAGGGATGGGAAACTTTATAATATTATTATATTAAAGAAATTGGATATGGAACAAAATAATAATGTAAATAAAATTTTAAACTACTTTTTCACCTTTTTATTATTGTTATATATATATATATATATCAAGTTTACACTGAAGAATTGAATTATCGAAAAAAAATATATTTTGCTAAAAAATGAATATGGAACACTATAATTCTCAGCAGGCGTTATATCTACTTATAAAACATTTAAAATAAAGTATACTATTAAAAAGTAAATTTTTTGATAAATGAAAGAAAAAAACAGAAATCCTACTTTGCTTTACGTTTGTCTAGTCCAGTTTATATGGATTAATGAGGAGATTTAAAATAATTAAATTTTATTAATTTATAAAAAAAACCTGATAATTTTGCCTGATATATCTCTCGTTGTTATGTAATTGATTTTGAATATTGATGTTATTGTTGAAAGAAAAGAAGATTACATTTTCGACTCTTTTCTCGTAATACAACATTACCATAAGTGTAGTGCATACGAAGAATAAACCAACGTAAAATTTCCCAAGCAATTTGTGCAAATTTGACACAAGTTTCGGAAATCGTCTTTTGTTACGTATTATCACTGGAACCATGTAATTATCTTCCTTGTGAGACTCTTAAAATTTAGCCACATCAAAACATTTTTATTACATGCTTATCATATCTATCCGCGAGAATCACAATATCAAGCATTTAATTTTTTTATAGTATAACAGGTTAATTTATATTAAAAAGAATGCGAAACCACTCATTTTTTGTTTACTTGTAACATGAAAAAGGGTATCAAAGTTTATTTATTATAAATGTATTTTGTCCAAAAAAAATCTAAATTGTAATAATAATGCAGAGACTATGCCAAAAGGGTAATTTTTATTAGTTTACAATCTTTGATTAATTGGTCTGTTTATGATATAAGATTACTTAAATTAATTTTATTATAGCATCAAATCAAATAAAAAAATGATTGCATGTTTGATATATTTTTTTAAACTAAAAATTAAGTTATAATATAGATATAATTACCATTTAAACTGGTAGTGTACTATATATAAAAAATTACGACATTTTAAGTACAAAGACTGACCACAATATTTAATGTCACATTTATATAGAGATTCAAAAATATATTCTTTTGAAAAATATAATTAATATCCTAAAAATATTTGTTTATTATTATGTTTTTATATAAGGAATTTACAATTTGACCGAATATCGAAAGATGATATAAGTGAAAAGTGGTCATAAAATAATAATATAAAAAAATTTCTCTTTTTTTTGTTAACGCACATTTAATTAAAAAATTATAATTTAACCCCTATCTTTTTGAATTTCCAAATATTTAATTTATTGTGGTTATGTTAAGCGTTATGAATTTTAAAATTTTGATATAACTATTATTTTGTTTTCAAGAACTTAGTTAAACCGCATCATTACTGCTCAAAATTTACAAAAAGAAATTATTTAAAAATAAGGTTTTATTTAGATCAAGGGCGAAAGCAAATTTAATTATTTGTAACTCGGATTGATTAATTGATACATTTTTATTATAATGTATGGTTTAAGAAAAAAAATGAATCGCTGACAGATGTCTTGGACTACCTCGGGACCCTATTCAAAAAGTATATAGCAATTATGTATAAGGGTTTACTATCAATCCTGTTCTTAGTTAATTAAAATGGTTAAATTTCATTCTGGTTATTTCGGAACAAATTTATTTCGATGTTCATGTTTGGAAATTCATAATTCTTTCGGTTCATTCTAGTTTTCATAAGTTTTGATTTTATAAATTTAATCATAATAAATATTTTTTTGAATTGACACCTAAACCAAACTAATTTTATTATAAAACTTGAATTAATGTTGTTAAACGCCTCGATTTAGCCTATTTTAATTTAAAATTTTAGATAAAATAATATTATGCAAGCCTTGAGATTTCGTTAATAGATCTCCAAACATTACTGCCATCTATGAGAAAAATATTTTTTGGGGAAATATTGGGCCAGCCTTTTTTAAAAATCGAGCTGTCAACAACTATAACAAATTAAGTTACATAACATTAGCACATATAAATCTTGTTTCATAACATTACCACATATAAAATCTTTACTATTCATTTTTAAAATTATAAATTGTACTATTTATTTAAAATTAATTTTTAAAACCGTTATGAACCGATTCATAATTTATAATACTTAAGTTCTTTCCATTTGAGTTTTTATTGCTATAGTTCGGTTATGATTACGGTTCAATATATTATGTTATGGTCTTGTGGTTCGGTTTTGCCCCACACCCTGCTTAATGGAAACGTTGGCTGGGTATATAAAACCATAAAAACAATTTTTCAAGTTTATGTTATATTAAATAGAAATATTTAATAAGTTGTAATAAACAAAATATAGAAGATTGACTAATGAACCGAATTTTTATTTTTACGCTATTAAATTTATATTATTTTTTTACCTTTTTTTCTATATCCCATTAGAAAGTCGAAATTTATGATTTGAGAATTGTTATCCCTTTTATACTTTGTTTAAAAAAATATTACATTATCATGGAATTTTTACAATGGTTGTATCTTTATAAAATTAATATAATATATATCAATACCAACCATAAATATAAACAATAAAGTTTATTTATTGTGTCTTCTGTTTGATAAAAAATTTGTTTTTTGCAAAAATTGTCTTTCTTCTTTGTACATAATATCAATCACATAATAGCTATCAAATATCAATCTTTAAAAATATATTTTTTAAATGTTATTTTAATATTTTTTAAAATGTTATTTTATATAGATTTATATATCATGCTAAGTTTCCTATTCCAATCGTTATAATGGTTCTTTTGTTATAATCAAAAATATGTAAAAATTTAAAATAGAAAGAGGAAAATATATTTAAACAAAAAATAGACAAAAAAAAAGAATAAAATACAATATTGACCTAAAGAATGAAAAAAAAAGAAAGGAAATGTCGATAGAAGAAAAAATAACACAAATTTCTTTCTTATCCTTTAGGCAATTGTTATATTATATTTTTTAAGTCCAATAAAATGAACTATATACCTTCATATAAACTTAATTTAATCAATTTTTTTTGAAAACAAATTTTTACACTTTGCAATAATTACAAATTCATTCCTAAACAGCATTGGGTATTTGAGCGACAGTGGCATAAGCAAGGGGGTTGCTCCCTCCCCCATAAAAAATTTGATTAGGAAAAAATTTTGCAATTTATAATACTTTTAGACTGATATCTAAACGAAAATTTGCTATTCCTTTTAAATTTATAAATCCTTATCCTTAATTTTCTCTAATATTATTTCAGAAATATCTTCTATTTAAAAATATCTACAAATAAACACTATCATAGCACATTAAATTTTTATATAAAAAAAATTGGAGAAGGAGACGCTAAATTCATATGGGGTCGACGTTTGACCTTAACTATTTCGTAGTTTAGAAACGCAGTGTAATAAATATTACTTTACTAAGAATTTTTTTTTATAGTTACTAAAAGCCTATCGATATTTTGACCTTTTATTTCCCAGTATCCTCCTAGTTTATGCTAAAAGATGTTCAAACAAATTTTTAAGTATTTTCTTCAGTGCTGCAAAGTAATGCCTTTGAATTTTTTAGCGAAAAGTAAAGTTATTTGTCAACATAATTTATTTGTTAAAATAGAAAATTATGATATAGATCCAACTGAGGAGTAAATAATTTTAGCCGAGTTTTTTGATCAAATCGAAAGATTTTAATATGGTTCTTATAAACTAATTAAAATTTATTTTGATTTCTTAAGTATCTATAGCCTTTATCATAATTAAAATGTATACAACTACACTTCCATTACCGACCACCCGTTGAACGGTCTTTTGGATGGCATAATCTATGTGGGCTAAATTTGTTTAATGCTCAAGGATTTTGTTAAAATAATTAAATTTAACAGATGTAATTAGAATTTCAATTTTTTTAAAAATATAGAATCAAAAAAATAAAAAGTTTTATAAATGTATTTATATATATTAAAAATTTTATTCAGATTAAAAGTCAAAAAAGAAAGAAAATTAATTAAATTTTGCAGAGTTTCAATCAGGGTCTAAATAAATTTTAAAATCAAGTTCCGAATTCAATTGAGCCTGAGAAAAATGTTTTTCCAAATATGGCAGAGTCTAGTTGGCTTCGATTGGGTTAGGATCAGTCTGTGCAAGGTTCTATTTGTATACTTATAAATTTTATTTAGCAAATTTATTTTTATACATTTAATTGAAAACTATTTTTTTCAATCATAATATTGTATTTTACAGAGTTTAACAAAAAATTCTCTTCGAAGAGCTGTAGATCATTTTGCATGAAAATTTTTGTATAGATATTCGAAGATTGTTGTAATATAAATATTTAAAGATTTAAATCTGTAATAAATTTTTAATGATCCGAATCTTTCGTAATTTTGAAATTACAAAATCCTTAAAGATTTTTATTTTTGTTAATTTTTTATAATAAAATCCTTTGCGATGAAACTATTTGTGAAAATCATTTTTATCAAATGGGATCTTACAGGTATGATTTTTATCATTATTATTAAATAATTTTTAAATTAATTTATTTAAATTAAGTTAGATAAAATGTTATATTTTATGGTTTCATTGACTAATTGTTATTTTTGATTTTTTTTTTCAAGCCAATGGGTAAAAATATATAGTATAAACATGTTAAATTAAAATTTCAGTTATGACATAGAAATTGTAATTGTCATAATTGAGAAAGTCATTGACAACTTCTATATCTCTTCTACCTTTAGAAGGAATACGAGGTAAAGATTATCCGTGTCAGGGTTTTTGCCGTTTATCTATTGAATGAATTCATTACCAGCTAAAAACTTTTACTGATGGAAGATTACTGGGCACAAAAAGTAGGGGAAACGGTTCAAGAACATTATACAAGAGTTAGGATAGCACACTACTTAGATTAAAAAGAGGTAGGAACATCATGTTAAATTATATATATTTTTTTAAAGTTTGCATTTATTTTTATATCGTGGATTGTTGTTTGACATATAAAGTGATTTATTCCGCTTAGCTGCATTTTAAAGGAGAAGGAGCAACAATGATTTAAAACAATATACTAAATAAATATATTAATTTTATTCAAAAATAGGAAATAAAATAAATATTTTTGCAAATTAGCTATAGATTTTTGTTATAGATTTCATTCTGCTTCCCTTTCATCAGTCTTTTATCTAAGGTATAACATCTATCAACGATAACAACTTTTATATTCAAGTCGAAGTGTAAAAGAGGCCTGTTTTCCATTTTTTGCATTTATATTAAGACAAGTCGCTAAAATTCAATTTAGTCAGCTACTATATAAATTTTTTATTTGGTTGATTTAAATGGAATTACATAATTTTTTAATTACATTATTTATTCTATAGTTTATAGCTCATCATATTACACAGAGACTCTTACGAATCGAATGGCTAGGTGAATGGGGCTCTGGAGTGTTATCAAGCTACAAATACGTG